TCTCTTTTTTTTTGTTTAATATGTGTTAATTTTTTTTTTTTCAAATTTTGATGTATAACTCATNAAAAAAATCAGTTTAAAAACGCAAAAAAGAAACATATAAAATATTTAAAAAAATCATTTTGAGTAATAAGCAATAAATTAGGATGAAAATTATAGTTACTATATTAAGTAAATGTCAAACTTTTATATTTATAGATATTAAGTTTTTTATTTTATCTCGTTAAGCGATTTTTTATATATCTAATTGATTTCATAGCTTAGCATGCCCTTTAAAAATGCATAACAAGTTGTTATAATAATATTCGTAGTAGTAGTAGTAGCAGCAACAATAGCAGCTTGATATGCTCATTATCTAATTTCTAATTTTAAATAAAATATTCAATAGACAACTTATAACATTTTATTTGCATGTGATTGAACACTATTTTTTTTATACGCATTTTATCAAATTTGTATCTTTTACTACATAAATATATAGTATAACCATATTCAATTTATACCTACACTAAAAATTATTACTAATTATTATATTGCTTTGTCTAGTAATCATTTTTAAGTATATTATATTTTTGCAAGTAATTTTTCACTCTTCATCTATAATATTTGGTATTTTTCTTTGTAATATAGGATTTAATTAAATTGAATGTATGGTACATGTAACATCTTAAAATAATAAATTTTGAAATGGCAAAACGTGAATTTTTTGTTGATACCTCTTCTCAGGCAAAAAAAACCTTTGCGACAAAGCCGAGCTTCTCAACCCAGCGAAGCCTTCCTTGGCGGCGACGCGGCTTCGGCCGGTGGTCGCCTTTGACCACCGGCCCCCTCAGCTGAACCCTGATGTTGCCGTAGTGCTCCGGCACTTGAAGGGATGTCGTGCCCTAGGTCAACGGCGATTTCGCGGTTAGAGGGGGCTTGCCTCTTGGTAGACGATCGAGTTGCAATTGGTGGCGTTGATTGTCGGTTGGTCTCGATTGGAGGTAAGTTTTCTCTCCTGCTGCGTTTGGTCATGATTTTTGGGGCTCCCCTCGTGCGGTTCGTTTTCCGGTGGGGCTCCTTTTGCTTTTCCAGTGGGGATCCGTTTTGGGGCTTCTCGGCTTGGTGCAGGTGGATTGCGGTGAGGTTGACTGGGTATGGGTTAGCAGGGGGGTGGGACTCTGGCATTGGGCGGGATGTGGCCTCGCCGGCGTCAGGGTTGAGGGACCGATCGTCGTCTCTTTTCCAGTGGCCATCTATGTCCTCTCGGGCCATCGATGGTCGGAGTTGAGGGGCCACGACACCATCACCATCCTCCGTTTGGCTAGTGGTGTTAGGCGGCGGGGGTCCGGTTCACTCGAGTGCAGCTAGTGGTGTTAGATGTGCTCTGGGGGATCTTGTGTGAGGGTTGGCTTGCCTGTGGTTTCCTTTCGGTTAACGGCGGGTCGATTCGGGGATTCTTCTGGGATTTGGGTTCACCTAGTGCTAGGCGTTCGTGCAGTTTCAGTAGCGGGACTTGGGCTCGGGATCTTTCTTGTGTCGATTGGTCACTACTGGTTGGGGCGGTGTCGATTAGCTGAGGAAGGACCAGTTTTAATTTGTTTCCTGTTTCGTTTTGTTTTTGTGTTTATGTTTGTTGGTTTGTTGGTGTTGTCGTTTGTGTTTGTTTTTATTTTTGTTGTTGTGTGTTAGGATTGCCCCAGTGGGCTCGAGTGCAACTTTATTCTCCTGGTGGGAGCGCACTCGGGTATTCTCCTGTTGGGAGGGTTCTCTATTTTTATTAGTCGTTTTGTAGTAGTGTTCGTTAGTGTTTTGTTGTGGTTAATTTTCTCGCGTTCCGAGCAGTATTCCGTCTAGGTTGCATTGGTGATATTGTAACCTCCCAGTTACCCAGGATTCGGGCTTTGCTCTTGTACATTGCCAGTTGGCGTCTTTAATGAGATTTTTATGTCGTTGGAAAAAAAAAATGGCAAAACATGCAAGATATGCAATTTCGTGGGATTCAAAAGTAATTGCAAGAACTATTAACAATGAATTAATTGTTAATTAGCCCTCTTAAAGAAGAAAAAAAATCAATTGTTCATAAGTCTTGTGATCTAAAATAATCTCAGGCAAAATTTTAAAGTACCAAAATCCATAAGTTATATAATTTGTAGAGCATTTATTATTATTTATTTTATCTATTTATATATAAAGAAATTGTATGCCTTATATGTGTGTGTCATAAAAAATTATATATACTCTCTAAATGTGTTACTCAAGTGGAGTAAAGCAAAAATATCTCATGTTCAAGCTCGCGTTCGATTGATAAATGAATCAGCTCGGCTTGACTCATTTAAAAAACAAGTGAAACCCAACTCAGTTAATATATAAATTTGATTAAGTGTTTGAGATTAGTTCGTTTTATTATAAGAACAAAGTTAGCTCGAGTTTTTACGAGTCAAACCGAACTGTGTTCGCAGACATTTTTATTCGATAACAACTATAGTCCCCCCCAAAAGTTTTTTCTAGATTCGCCCCTATTCATGATGTTGTTTATATATTCATTTTTGCTCTGGAGTTAGGTTTGGTATCAAACAGAAATAACGTTTTCAAACTTGGTAAGTGTATATTTAATCTTGTTATTTTTTTTTTTTATCTTATTACACATTTTCTTTTTAGCTTAGTCAAATAACAATCTTACCATATTATAGTTTTCTCCCATATTTTTTTTTTACCTAAATTACGATTTACAAATACTTTATGCATTGTCTATTCCTGTTTTATTCATCAATTAGTCCATCAATGTTTTTATATAAAAATCTATTTTAACAATAACTTTTATCATATATTTCTTAACTCCATATCCGTGTAGTACACGAGTATTGTACTAGTAAAATTTTAATTATCTTCTGCCATTAATAAAAGTATTAGGGATAGTGATTACTGACCATTATATATACCCTCGAATTTGAACCAATGACCATAAAAATAAAAAAGTTATAGAAGTTTCTCAATAGATAAATTTAAGAAATATATAAATAAATATTAAACATTTTTATTTTCAAGGTTGCATATCCTGGAGTCGTGATCTGATTAAGATTTTCTTGTTTAGGTAAAAGATTTACGTAATCTTTTTCCACTATTTTTTTGTTGGGTAGAAGTTTACCCACCTCTATAAAGTTTTAAAATTATACGACAAAAGCCAGTACCGAAACGGCGAAATTTGGTATTATATCACGTCATCATACATATAACTTATGTAAAGGTACAATAGCAATTCTGCAAAAAAGGTTCAACCATCTTCTTTTGACTTATATATATGACAAATTGCTCCTTCACAGTATTGCTTATATTTGGAACTATGTTTGGGTGATCCAAAAATAGATGTTATGAAATGTTTTATTTATGTTTTGAATGTTTGGAAGATGAGTTGTTTTGGAAATAATTTTTGTTTTAAAGTTTAAATTGTTTTTGAAAAATCTATGTCTTTTATTTAAATAAGTAAGCAGACGTTACAGTCTTCTTGATGAAAAATGCACTTTTGGAGAGTGGAGGTACCGGTACAATCGAGGAAATCAGCGGGTCGGTTTCCCTTCGCGGAAGATGTGCGAAATCCGATAATGAAACGACTGAAGTGCGGATCTTATCCGCATGAGCAGGTGCTAAATATGCCACGAGCCCTGATAGTATGAGGTACTCATGTCTTTAAAATTCAATTGAAAAACGCATATTTTTAAACGAATAAGAGGATTTCAGGCAATTAACCATAAATTTATGCTTTAAAATTAAAATTAAAATAGATGTACATATTTTATCATCAAGTATCTAATAACAAATTAGTAGGGCTGCTCATTCGTTCGGAATCGAACTGAACCGACCGAATTTTCGGTTAACCAAAATTTCGGTTTGTCCATTATCATAATAAAAAACCGAACCAAAATTTACGGTTCGGTTCGGTTTTTAACCCAAAATCCACGGTCGGTTTGGTTTGGTTTTTAGTTAATCGCAATAAATAATTAATCTTTTAGTAAATTCTGAATTTTTAACTGAACAAAAAATTTGATGTTTTATCCGAACCAAAAAGAAGAAATTAATTTTTATTACCTTCTTTAATCTTTATAATTAATTCTAAATTCTCCTCAAAGGAAGATCTCGGACCCGAACCGTGACTTGGACTATGAAGAAACCAATATTGTGTGTAAATTAATGTTTGAGCCATTTTAGGAGTCATTGAATCTTGAAAATCATCAATCATTGAAGCAAATTAATGCTTTTATAACTTATATGTATAAATAAAAAACATGTATAATATGTGTATAAACCAGTTTTCGGTTCAATTTGGTTAACCGATCAGAATTACCCAAACCGAACTGAAAACCGAAATTTTAAGAAAATGTAAATCGAAAATCGGACCAAATATTCGGTTTCGGTCCAATGTGTTGGAAAAATCTGAACTTTTAATGTTAGTAATATTACAATGATAAGATCAATAGATTATTTTAAATTGTATCTTTTGTAAGTCAATTTAAAAACTGTAATGTAACGATAAGAGGGTGATTATTTATAAATTCAACTAAAAAAAATCAATCAAAGTTCAAATTTAACTCAACATCACTCCTCAATATAATCAATATAATTAAATAAATCAATTAATCATTCTTACACATTACATCAACTTTAATTCACTATTCATCCACTTACTTAATTTTAACTAACCATCAATTCCAATCATTTTTCTCCTACTTTATATCAAATCAACTTTAATTATTTTATTTAAATATTATTTTAGTATATCTAATAACAACTAACTATACCAACTTTTTTTTCAAGATTAACTATAGTTAAAAAATAAACAAAATAAAAACTAATTTAATTCATAAACAATCACCCTAATCAAACTTTATCAAGTTTAAATTCTTACAATAATCGTAATTGCATGGTGAATTGCACACAACCACTAGCAGTCTAGCACAAATAATAATAATAATAATAATAATAATAATAATAATAATAATAATAATAATAATAATAATAGACAACAAATAATAAAGAAAGCGGTTAAGAACTGGCAATCTCTAATAGATGCATACATATCCTATTCCTACGCACCGCTTCTTTTTAAACGTCAGAAAAGAAAAAATAAATTCAAAAAAAGGGACAATTTCAGTTCCCTCCATTCCATTCCCTTAACCGTTAATTTCATGCCATGCCTAAGATGAATGTCCCGACGCCGCCATCAGCCCCACCGGAGCCACCGCAAACAGCGGCCCCGGCCGTTGGTGTCCCTGCGAATCACCAGATCCCACCTCCTAGGCCGGCTTTGAACTTGGGCCCTCGTTTTCCTATCCCATGGTCAACTGGACTGTGTAATTGCTGCGATAATTTTAGAATTTGTAAGCCCATACTATTTATTAATGGGTTTTGGCATGGCCCAACATCATACTGTACCAACTCATGGGCCACAATGTTACCATGTGCAACATTTTTGTCATTTTACCTCGATGCTTAAAAATGTCAATTATTTATGAAACCCCAGGTTGCTTAACATGTTGGTGCCCCTGCATAACATTTGGCCGCATTGCAGAAATTGTCGACAGAGGATCCACGTGTAAGCCACGTCACACACGATTTTTGTTAGTTAGAATATATCCAGTCGTTTTTAACTCAATATTTCTAATGATTATTATAGGTACCATCTGAATTCTGATCATTTATGTAAATATTTTTTGATAAAAGGTGTAATAATATATGTAAGTCAAAATTATGTAAAAAGATGGTGCTTAATTTCGAAAATATTTACATATTTTTTCATACTGATAAGTAAACGTAGGATATATCCAAATTTTCTTCAAAGAAAAATGAATTAGGATGTCAATAAGAAAAATTGAATATATGATTAGGATCAAAAAATGAGTTTTGAATTATTTTATTTGGTGGTATATGATGTTGAATTACTGATGAGAGCAGCGTGTGGAGTAAGCGGGGTATTGTACTCCATGATACTGTGTGTGAGTGGCTGCTCTTGCTTGTACTCTTGCTTTTATCGGTCAAAATTAAGGGGTCAATATTTCTTGGAGGAGAGGCCGTGTACCGATTGTTGTGTCCATTTGTGCTGCGAGAGTTGTGCCCTCTGCCAAGAGTACAGGCAGCTTCAAAACCAAGGCCTTGATTTGTCCATAGGTATTTCATTTCAATTTTGGATTATTCTCTATTTAATTTAGTTAAATATGTCATATTTCGAAATTTTGTGCATCACATATATCGATGTTTCCTTTTTCTTTATTCAAATAGCAATGGACATCTGAATATAATTCAATGTATTTTCAATATTAATTGGAGATGAATTGTATAGGGTGGCATGGGAATATGGAGAGACAAAAAAGAAAAGGTGGAGTGGCTCCATCACTTGAAGAGGGCATGAAGCGGTAGATGATATGTCTTGTGTTGTGTTGTTGAATTTGTTCACATGATTATTAGTTATTAATAAAACCATTTCACTATAATATATGTGCATTAGGAGACTAGATAAATAATTATGAAGTACTGGGTTTGTCACATATGTTGCATCAAAATGCTGTATCAAAATGTTAATTCAATATCTTTCAGGTTTAGTTTGTTTAGAATTTGATCTTTTTTTTTTTGTAGTGTAATATACATATACTTGTATAAATAACTGATATTTATTGTGTAATTTCAACAATATATGACATTTTATTCATATGTAAGTTGAACAATTTGATCTTGAACATGTAGAATAACTATAATGAATAAAATACACGTTGGCATTTAATAATACGGTATATGAATAAAAGCAAGAGTACGCACTTACTGAGTGCTTGACATAATAATTATTTTTGTGCATATTTGGTAGACTTCATCAAACTAACGCACATAGTGAACGAAAATAACTGAACAGCACATCATATACAAACAACATAATTATCCAACTCACCTGCATTATTGATCTTGCAGAATGAATCTCACTTTTTAATGATATAAAGTAGCAGATATTGAGTGCACGTGTCCGTTATCATCTTACCGGTTAAAGAGTATGCAGTACTTATCGAGATCTAGTTTATTTACTTGGTAAGTATAAAATAAATTTTTTTATCGTGGATTCTTTCAATACGCTCATAGGGTACTAGTATAATTTATCAGTCAAAAGCAACCGATCCAAATTACACTACAATCGTTCGCAATGAGTTGTTCGGTTTCATCTATGTTGTGAATCAATTGTTTATGTTTTACAAATAACCGATAATATGATCTTTGTTCATCCGTGATGTACCATAATTATCTACATGTAAACATCATAACATATAAGCGCTTAATTAAACATTATTCTCATTTAATCAGAAAAAAATGTTTATAACACCAAAAGTACTCAAGCTTTCAGTATATACACTAACAATTGTTATAGTGATATATCTGCCACGTTGGCCTATTAAACCTTCCACCTCTTCCTCTTAAATTAGCTCTTTTATTACACCTGAAAGATTGAGACATATGTCCTTATGTCTCCATGATGAAATTAGATCTTCCTCTTCCATCTTTAAATGAGCCTCTTCCTCTAGAATTTTGAACAAGATTGACTGAGTAAGGTCCTCATTGTGATCAAAACTCTCAAGATTTGTTGTTTCATTGTTCGTAACACATCAAATTGTTGTTCTTCTGCAGTGAGGTAGCTCTGCAAACAATAACCCCAAACAACAACCAAGATTTGTTGCTTCCATCCAAGGTAGCCCCTCCAAGGTTGACAGTGATGACCTGGCTTTGTGGATAGATGACAACATCCACAACAGTTATGAATGAGAATCAGTAAAGGAAAAAATTAAATAAAATAAAATAAAACGGTCTCAGGTTCATATGGCTCTGATGGCATGAAAGAAACAATGAAGAATATTTCTAGTGTTTTGCTCATTGGCTAGCAGTCATGAATTTCAGAGTTACTTGTTAGTGCTAATAGAAATAGAAACTAAATTATGTCCATCCATTAAGGATTAATCTAATAGCTATAAAGAAAAGAACTAAAGACAAAAAGGAATCAAAGTTAATGTTATGGGTGATTTGTCGATGAGAGGAGCTGGCTTAGAGTTTGTCTTCATGCAGTGTGGCCTTGACTTGACTGCTACCTTCTTGGCTTGCATGCATCGTGCAAGACGTCATCAGTAAAACTAGTGACTGAAATGCTCGGTTTTCTTTCATTACACTGAAATATTATATTTATAAATTTAATCCTTATTTTATTTGTTCCTATATATATTTCATATCATTAGTACTTTTGTAGAGCTACTCCATACCTCCAAGATACATTTTTTTTAATACGGAATACTGAAGCTGTTAAATATGTAAATATTGAGATTGTACTATAGATTAGGTTTAGGCTAAGGTCCATATATGTATCTATATATATATATATATGTGTACTCCTCTTTGTGAATAATACTTTAGATATTTTTTCCACATTCTCACATGGTATCAGATTAGGGTTATATATATTCAATTGTGGGTTTAGTATTTACGTTCATCTCTGGCCATCTTTGAATCTCACCGCCCACATTATCTTCTCCGGCGTCCCACGGCGACCAATCGCTGCAAATTTCAGGCCGATCGGTGGCGCGTGGGCTTCGCGCGCGCCTGTTCTTTACGACGGCGCCGACAGCTTTTGCCGGCGCGTGAGGTCCACTCCGATCTCCGATTTCTAACATTTTTCAGCCATCGACTCGTCTCGTCGTCGGTTACGTCCTGGTGTGGTCGGTTTTGGTTTTCGTGACCTTTTAATTTCCTCTATTTTGTGCTATTTTGACGGTTTCGTGATCCGATTTATGCCTATATTTTCATTTGTTTCGTGTTATTGTGTTGATCTGCTTTTTGGATATGGATCGTATGGATTTGCATTTCTCCTATTAGTGTTGTCTTATCAGGAGACAATTATAGTCTTTGGGCACAGTCTATGAAGAGTTTTTTAATTGGGAGAAAATTGTGGCGGATTGTGACTGGTGATGTGTTGCCACCTGTACATCCGTCTCTTTCTGGGGATCCCAACCCCACACCACAGGTTCTTACAACTTACGTCGATAAGTTGGAGGATTGGGATAGTATGAACCATCAGATTCTTACTTGGTTACGTAATACTTCAGTTCCTATTATTCAGGTGCAGCTTGCCCCGTTTAACAGTGCAAAAGGCTTGGAATTTTTTGGCTATTCGATTTCGGACTACAGGCTTGGCTCACTATTATCAGCTTTGGTGCACCTTGCATTCCACCAAGCAGCAACCAGGTCAATCTGTCAATGAGTTTCTTGCACAAGTTCAGCCTATCCGGTATCGTCTCCGACAGGCTGAGATTAGTCCGGATCACCTTGATCTTATCCAGATTTTGATGGCTCTACGTCCTGAGTATGAGGTTGTTCGTGCTTCTCTCTTACACCATCATCCACTACCTACTCTTGATGCTGCTATTCAAGAGATCACTTTTGAGGAGACTCGTCTTCAGTTGGCAAGGACACTACAATTTGAGTCTGCATTAGCTGTGCCTACTTTCGCTTCCGCTCCGTCGCATCAGCCTTAGTCACCAACCCGTGTTTATTGTCGAATTTGCAGTTTTCTGGGGCATATTGCTCCAAATTGTCCAGCAAAGTCACAGTGTTCGGGAGGTTCATTTTCTCGATTTCGAGGGTCTCGTGAGTCTTCTTCATCGACCCCTTCTTCTTCGGTTACAGCGGCTGTCACTAATGAGCCTCAACACTCGTCTTACACTCTTCAAGACATAAAAGCTATTCTCAAACAAGTTATCCATTCCAATTCTGCTATGTCTGCTACCGCAGGTAACCCTTATTGGTACTTTGATTCTGGCTGTTGCAATCACATGACCTCTACTCCACAATTTTTGTCTTCCTCGTCTTCCGTCACTTCTTTACCTCCTATACATACTGCAAATGGTACCCGTATAAATATTACTCACACTGGTCTGGTTTCTTCCCCTTTTTTACACCTTCCTGACACATACTGCATTTCTGATTTGGCCTTGAATCTTATTTCTATTGGTCAATTGGTTGAACAAGGTCTTAATGTTCTATTTTCATCTTTTGGTGTTCAGGTTCAGGATACACAGACGGGTCGACTTCTCGGGACGGGTCGCAAGATGGGTCGGTTATTTGAGCTTGAGTCTCTTCATATCCCTCGTTCTTTCTCATTTTCTGCTCCTGTCACCGATAATAAGTCCAGTTTTCAGTGGCATCTTTGTCTTGGGCATGCGTCTTCAAATAAAGTTCGTTCATTATATAATAAAGGTCTTTTAGGTCCAGGTCATTTTGAGTCTTTTAGTTGTCTTCATTGTAAGCTTGGGAAACATTCGGCTCTTTCTTTTTCTGAGAATTTGTCAACTGCTGATAAACCTTTTGGTTTGGTACATTCTGATATTTGGGGTTCTTCTTCGGTTGCTTCTATGAATGGTTTTCGGTACTTTGTTATTTTTGTTGATGATTTTTCTCGTTTTACCTGGATCTATTTCTGAGTTGCCCACCAAATATATTCAATTTGCTAGAATGATACACACAAAATTTTCTTGTCCTATAAAGGTCTTGCGTACTGACAATGCCCTTGAGTACAAGGATTCTAACTTTTTAAACTTTCTTTCTGATCAGGGCACAATAGTTCAGCGTTCCTGTCCTTATACTTCTCAACAAAATGGACGAGCTGAACGTAAGCATCGTCACATTCTTGATACTGTTCGTGCTCTTTTCCTTTCTGCTAAGTGTCCTGATCGTTTCTGGGGTGAGGCAGCCTTGACTGCTATTTATACTATCAATCGATTACCCTCATCAGTTCTTCGAGATATCAGTCCTTTTGAAAGGTTGCACGGTTAGTCACCCGATTATACTCAGTTACGTCATTTTGGTTGTGTTTGATTTGTTCTTCTCCCATCCCATGAGCGGACCAAGTTAGAACCTCGAGCTCGTTTGTGTTGTTTTTTTGGGTTATGGGGTAGAACACAAATGGTTTAGGTGTTGGGATCCTATTGCTAATCGGTTGTATATTTCGCGTTACGTTACCTTTTGGGAGCATACTACTTTTTCTTCTTTGTCTAAATTTCACATTCCGTTTGATTCGTCATCCCCTTTCTTCATGTCCATTACTTCGGATCTCTTTCCAGATACTTGTCCTGACTCACAGCTCATTGACACGCCTGTCAGGCCTCCGTCTTCTGAAGTGGCTCCACCTGCGCATCCTGAACTGACGCTCCCTGTTGAGTCCTCTCTTCTGATTCTGTCCCTTCATCTACCATTGATCACCAACGATCAACTCGTGTAAGTCGTCTCTCTTCTCACTTACTTGACCATCATTGTTATTCGATCATACTATCTCATCATGAGCCTAGCTCTTTTCGTGAGGCGAGTGCTGATCCATTGTGGCAACAAGCTATGGCTGATGAGTTGCAGGCGTTGGAGAAGACTCATACTTGGTATTTGGTGGATCTACCTGATGGAAAGAAACCTATCGGATGCAAACGGGTTTATAAGATCAAGACAAATTCAGATGGTTCTATAGAGCGCTACAAAGCTCGTCTGGTTGCTAAGGGGTACTCACAGGGGTACGACATCGATTATGAAAAGACCTTTGCACCGGTTGCTCGTCTTACTACTGTTCGGTGTTTACTTTCTGTTGCTACTGTTCGTTGATGATCTCTTCTGCAGTCAGATGTCAAGAATGCCTTCTTGCATGGTGCCTTATCTGAGGAGGTTTTCATGACTCCACCTCCAGGGTCCTTGTCCTCTGGGAAGGTTTGGCGTCTACGTCGAGCTTTGTATGGTTCGAAACAAGCTCCTCGTGCCTGGTATGCCACTTTCAGTTCTGCATTGTTTCAGTTTGGTTTCACTACGAGTGATCAAGATTCCGCTTTGTTTCTTCAGCGCTCCTCATCTGGGATTATTATTTTGCTGCTCTATGTTGACGATATGATCATCAGATGAGATGATGTTACTGGTATTTCCGATTTACAGGACTATCTTCGTCAGCATTTTGAGATGAAGAGTTTGGGCCAGCTTCCCGATTTTTTGGGTCTTGAGATTTCTGATTCCTCTGATGGCTTCTATTTGTCTCAAGCCAAGTATGCCTCTGATCTTCTTGCTCGGGCCGGTCTCACAGATTGTCAGACAGCTTCCACACGTCTTGATTATGATGTTCGTCTTACTCCACTAGATGGCTCTCTTCTTGAGGATCCTACGTTATATCGCCAGCTTGTTGGGAGTTTGATATATTTGACTGTCACTCGGCCTGATATAGCTCATGCTTTTCATATTGTGAGTCAGTTTATGGCTGTTCCGAGAACCACGCATCATTCAGCTGTGTTGCACATTCTTCGCTATTGCATGGTTTACACTTCTCTGCCCGTTCTTCCTTGACACTTAGCGGCTATTCTGATGCAGATTAGGCTGGAGATCCTACTGATCGTCGTTTCATTACTGGGTACTGCTTCTTTCTGGGTGATTCATTCGTCTTTTGGCATAGTAAGAAGAAAACCTTAGTCTCCAGATCGAGTGCTGAGTCTGAGTACCACGTTCTTGCTGATTCCACCTCCGAGCTATTATGGTTGCGTCGACTACTTGCTGATCTTGGTGCCCCTCAGTCGTCGTCTACTGCTTTACATTGTGATAGTCAGAGTGCTACAAAGATGTCTCATAATGATACCTTTCATGAGCGCACGAAGTATATTGAGATTGATTGTCACTTCATTCGACAGCATGTTGCACATGGGACTGTTAAGCTTGTTCCTATCTCCTCTACAGATCAACCAGCCAATGTTCTGAAAACCGGACCAGACCGGCCGATTCAACCGGTTGGACCGGGAACCATTCCGGTTCGGTTGGCTCCATAAAACCGCCATCCAATGAAACCGTCCCAAAACCGTCCAACCGGTCCGAAACCGGATGAACCGGTTTCACGGGTTAGGCGGTTCCAACACTTGAATGTGGAAGCTTGTGATGTGCATCCCAAAATGGTCAATTAAATAGCAGAACTCCACTACCCATTAACATTTTTATTACATAAATATAACTCATATATATTTATATACAAATTAACTAAAACTATCACATTTATTTGCAAACATACTAATATTTTTAAATATGGTAAATGCAAATTTAACGGGATCTCTATTTATCACACGCTTTCTCTCTCTCACCCTCTCTCTCATCTTCTTATTCTTGCCGTTGTTCTCCTCTCCCCATCGCTCCTTCGCCGCTCCGCCTCCGCCCACCCACCGCTCTTCACGTAGCAGACATAAAATTTTCCTAAGAAAAACAGAAGCTCGATAGTATATACAGAAAAGTGGACGAGAACAAAGTCCAGTGCTCAGACAACGGTCAATTTTCGGTTGACAGACGCTACCCACCGGACTACAAACTTGGTGTCAAGATCGAAACCTCCAAGAGGTAAAATGTATGTTTCTTAATCGTCTAACACCAATTTGCTCAAATTGCTAAATTCGAAACTTTTGAGAAATATTTATTTTTCTGTAGTGGTATAAAGAGTAGCTAAAGGGTTAGAGAGGCTCTTATCAATTGTTGTTCATCAGCAAATTTGATGTCCTCCGTCTGAGAATTAATTATTCTTTAGTTTGTGGAATCCATCTCCTTCTCCCCGTCGCACAATTCTCGGCCGACCGAGGCGATGCCACCGAGATACGCCCGTCGCCGTCGAGGAGGGGAAGAACTACAGTTTCGACTCCTAATCTGGGTTCATGTTAGAAAAAATTAGAAATTAGAGACTGTGGGTGGGGGCCATGAATTAATCGGGTATATGTTGTGCATATATAAGGTATATGTTCTGTATAATATAAGGGCTACCTTATATGTATGTATGGTTTACATTGACAAAGCATAAACTGATGATTTTTTTTTTTTTTTGTGTATATGTATGGTTTATACTCAGTATATTTTCGGTATATGATAAAGAAATTTATCGCGAGACCTAACTTTTATGTATAAAATCTATTTAAAAATAACATAAACTGAATTTTTTTGTTGGTATTGTGTATACGTATGGTTTTATATTAAGTAATCTGTTATAATATGTTTTTAAACTATATATATACTTTTATGTATAAAAGAAAATAAGAGGAAGATACAATTTTTGATGGAAGACATTTTTTTCATTGCAACATATACTGAATATATACTAACATAAACACAATATATACCAGCCGCGTGAATTAAGGAATTCCAGTTGCGCACATATACTGAATATATACTAACAAAAACTCAATATATACCACCTGAGAGCTGCGTCAATTAAAGAATTCCAGTTGCGGGATTTAAGGAATTATTTGAGTAAATCACGCCACCAAAGGATAACTGATATGTATAGAGGACGTTACAAAAGGTAACTGATATTTAGGCAATCACGTAAATAAAATAGCTTGATTAGGTATATATCCTATTAATTGTTCTAGGAAGGTAAAATTGAAAATTCTTTTATTTCATGTAGTATGTGTAAAAATTTCCTTAAAATGAAATGTATGTGGGTTGGGACCACCAGAAAACATGAAGCCCCAACTTATTAACCAAAAAATATTCTTAACTAAGTTGGTAATATTTCAAAAATTAAAAATTTATATATAACCAACCTACTATTAGTTGCTATTTAAAAATAAAAATATTTTTAGTTTCTTTCAATTAAATAAAAAAATGAGTATTTAAATAAAAAATATATATTTGAATATAATGGACATGTATAAGTTATTATTAGTTACTTTAAGTATTTGAATGTTCTAAATTATCTTAATATTTAATTAACAAAGCTTTTATATATAAATTGTACTATATAAATTATTATATATATTTAAAAATATTAATAAATTAAATACCGGTTCAACCGGTTCAACCACTGGTCGGACCAATGAATCATTGAACCAGTAGCTTGACCGGTTCGATGACCGGTCCGGTTTTCAGAACATTGCAACTAGCGGATGTCTTCACAAAGTCTCTCCTTCCTGGTCGCTTTTGTTTACTTAGCAAACTCAAGTTGATCTCCACGATACCACCTTGAGTTTTAGGGGGGTGTTAAATATGTAAGTATTGAGATTGTACTATAGGTTAGATTTAGACTAAGGCCCATATATGTATCTATACATGTGTACTCCTTTTTGTGAATAATACATCAGATATTTTTCCCACATTCTCACAGCCAATATTATTTCACAAACACGTGTCTTAGAAGCCTATAAAATATGTTTCAATTAATGTAGTGCATGCATCATTTTTTTTTTTTTTTTATATATAGTTGTCCCCACAATATCATTCCCTTAAATTGGCGCATGCACTCATTAGTTGTTGAATATCATGAAACTTCATGATTGCACACACCATTTCCTATTTTATAATCCACTTCAGTGGCGGATCTACACAGGTGTAGAATTTTTTAGTAGTATAATATACATATAATATATGTATAAATGTATTATTATATTGACATAAAAAAATATATCCTATTAATTATTATGCAAAGTTATTTCAATATAAAAAAACAAACATGAAATCTTTATAATTATTTAACTTTCAATAGTATGTTATTTTTTAAGTCGTGGAATTTATGCTTATGCTATATTCAACTTCTTGTTTATTTTCTTTTCCCTACCAAAATACATAAAAAAATATATTACATAAACGTATATATAATACAATGATTGGATCAAATGTGTCCCTATTCTTAAAATGAGAATATGAGACTCAACCTTAGCTATTAAATAAGAAATAATGTGTTTGATTAAGATTTATTTTTTTATATTTTTTTTACTGGTCAAATATTAATTTGATCGTTGACCTCCGATGTTGACCGTTGACCATAGTTTGTCCCCCATTGTCCTTAAAGTCTACGTCCGCCCCTGATCCACATCTATCTCTCGTGTGTGTGTGTGTCTTCATTGTATTTTAATGTCCGTTCACATGTATATAATTTAATTTGTCGCTTTGTTATTTGAAAACTCTTGGTGGGTGCTCCACTATATTTTTGTAAATGCAATTGACCAAAAATTCAGTAATTAACATGACAATTAAAAGAAAGTAATATTTTTTCCTAAGGGCACAGATAAGTAATATATTTTTTTTCCTATGGGCATAGATGCATTACATATTCTTACTTTAAAAATGTATAAATTATGATAAAAAAAAATAAAAAAAAATAGTCTATTTCCCATTAATTTATTAGCTTGCAAAAACTATTCTCATGATTCACGTACATTCTTTGTAAGCAAATATTGGAATATCACTTGTGAGTTGTTTACCTACAGGATAAATAAACCTAGTTTATAAGTCTAGTGGGCTACTCCTCCCATCACCAATTGGTTTTGGGATAGAACCTAAGGTGTACCTAAGCTCACCCTCTAAGGTGCGCTTCACCTGGTGGGACCGCACCCTCTTCCCCTAATATGGTATCAGAGCAGGTCTGTCCTAGGACCTGCAATGACTTTATCTAACCGACCTACTCTAGGCTTGGGCTTACTTTACTCGGTCTTCTCAAGTGAAAAGACGTGTTGGAATATCACTTGTGAGTTGTCCTACATTGTTTCTACAAGTAAATGGGCCTAGTTTATAAGCCTAGTGGGCTACTCCTCACGTCACCAATTGGTTTTAGGATGGAACCTCACTGAGGTGCACCTAGGCTCACCTTCTTATGGTGCGCTTCACCTGGTGGGAGCATAACCTTTTTCCCCAGTTCTAATAGCAAAATAGGCCAAATTAAAATGCAGCCCATTATAAGATTGAGCATATACGTGCAAAGAGAAAGACATATTGAATAGGTTGTGATCAAAGCTTGATTAAAGGGACACCTATATATATAAAATCCCCCTATATATAATTCTCGAATGCGCTGAGCCTAAGTGGCATACTCACATGCTCGGAATCCTACTTGGCGAAAAATCATGCTTCGTAATTTGATTTGGATAAATGATATTGTTATTCTAAATCAATAATTTTAGGTTCGGACATTCCATAAATATTGAAAAGCTAACATGGGTAATTTCATACTACTTTGACTAATATAATCCTTAGATTATTTTGAAAGCTTACTCAGTGTTGTTGATTGGCTAATATAGCCGTGAAATTTGTTTTTGAATCTCTCAATCGGCTATTAACTTTTCCAAATTGAACGTTACGAGAAAAAGGAAAGCAGCGACCTTTGCAGCTCCGTTGGTCGCCCGAAGAAACAATGGCCTCTCCTCTTCATCATTCACAATGCTGGCGTTTCCTCTACCTCCTCGTGTTACCTCCACCGGCGTTTTCTCTTCCGACGCCTCCACCTTGCCCTAATTTTTAAGGTTTATTGTGTTTGAATTGTTCTCGATCGATTGTTGATGTCGGCGTTGTTGGTTTCAAAACTTTTGGCATGAGGAGATGGTGATCTGGGCTTTGAGTGGAAATTTTTTTATTTTCTGAGGCGGGTTTTCTGTTTCTCTTTTGTTTGTCTGCTTAGTTTGCCGGAACGTGGTTTAGGCTCTATTCGGAGGTTAGGGTTAAAGTTTTGAGATTTCTTTTTGTCTTCGAATTAGGTTTAGAATTTAATTTGATTAAGATTAGCTTTAAGGGTTCTCTTCGAGGCATTGATTTGGGAGAATTATGGCTGGATCAGAAAGTTTGGGTTTGTCTCCTTCCCTTTCGGAGGCAGAGCAGCCGCCGAAGCAGTGGGGCATGGCGAGGCCTTTGTTGCATCCAGGCCCACCGATGTGGATATTCAGAAGAACATGGAGTTGGAGAAGGTTGCTCCCCGGAATTGATGATTTATTTTTCAATTTTCCTTTTTGTTCTAAGATGTGTTTGCAATTTACTGGATTGGCAATCCTTATGTGGTATAGCTTGATTTTGTTGTAATTTTAGTTTTTGGCGGACTCGAGACTCCATGAGAGCGTTGAAGGAGCTTCCAAGAGGGAGGAGGTTCTAGATAGCCTAAGAAACGTATGTTGACATAAATTATTGTTTCATATTTATGCATCATGTTGTGTTGTGTTTACTTGGTTGATGATGGATGCAATTTGATTGAATGTGTTTCCAGAGAATGTTTTGCATTTTTTTCCAAGTGAGTGATATGATATTGTTGTTAAAAATTGAAAATAGTGCAATCAAATTGAAGTATGGATGTGGACATAATTAAATGTGTAGGTTAGTAGGTAGAAGGTTTCACTGTTGACAAAATGAATTTGTATATCTTTCTAGTACGTTTTTTAACTGAGGTGAATGTATTTTGAACAGAGGTGGTTGATCATAATGATTTGACATGTTTTATGACTGTCTTGTTCTCAGAGTAATAATGGGTGTTGTGTAGGACCTGAAATCGACAAAAATATGTACCTTCTGGAGGAATCTCTGGATGCCGCCTTCACTGTTCATACTGATAGTAGACAGGTATTGATGCACACATGAAAACAAACAATGTTCAGTGAAATGTCGAGTCCTCTTCGTACAAAGTTGCAAAAACCTACAATCAAAATAACCAAAGAGAAAGTAATATAATTTTAAATAGACATGTTTTATGTAGTTTTGCACAGTTTAAATTTCTTACAACATTATCAATAAATTAATATAGGTAAATTGTATTGCATATAGATCTCATATTTTTAATTTTTAAATACTAGTAAAGTTCACGTGCGATGCACATGGGTAAAATGGGTTTCCTTTGTGTTTTTTTGTTTTGGATTGAAGTTCTTGTTGTACCGAGTTTCATTGTTTTGCACAATATCAATTGTAACACTTCTTATATTTTCTATGGTGTGCACTCACATGATTTGAATATTTTTAATGATTATTATTAGGGATATTGATATTTTGGTACCTGAACTATTGTCATCTTGCTGATTTAGTACCTATAGTATATGATTAAATGATTCAGTACCTAAATTACACCCCTTCTAATTAATAAGTACCTAATTCAGATATGACCTAGAATAGGCAGTTTATATGTGTCTAGCCGGTCATTTTATGTTACAGCACATGTAAAGAATAAAGACATCCTCAACGAGATGTCTTTCCAGCTGGAAACACAACAACAAACCCCTACAAAAAGTGAGAAAAATAAATAACACCAATGTAAAATGCTCCACCATTAAACCAATAGATCCTGAGCAAGAAAAAATCACAAGTACTTAATGCAATTTGGTACTCAATCAAATGACAAAATGAATTCATTGTTTTTCATAAATGTAAAAATAGAGTAGATAAAATTGAACATTCAAAACACCATATTCAGACAGGATGACAAGATAAAGCTATCAAAATTCCAGAAAGTCTTGTCTACTAAATCCCCAATTTGTGACTGTACTTTAAGGCAACAATTGAAAAATTAGTGAGATCCCAATGTAACGGGTTCTTCCTTCGAGGACACAATTTGATTTGAAGAAGATAGGTCATTCTTGGTTGAAAATTTTTCCCACTGTAGGTTTTCCTAGCGATCTCCATATGCATGTAGGTTTTGATCCTCGAGGTTCGACATTAGCTCAATCTGTTGATCTTTGTGTTTAACCTCCATTTGGTTTTTGCTTACCTTGCAACCAAATATCAAAAAGAAGAATATTAATTATTTAAACACCACAAAAAAAAAAAACAAATACTTACTTGTAGTTTTTTTCTAACTCCCTGTGTTTTATTCTGTTTTTGCATGTTCCGAGAAACCTTTTCGGGCTGCTCGAAAGATGTAAGACCAGAACTATTCCTTTTGGAACCCTACATGTATATCTCACTTGAAGCTATTAAAAGGATCATGGGTAATTAATCATAATACGCTAAAAGAAAATGTATAATTATTGTTAACCTTTCTTGGAAGTGTTTGTATTTCTTCATTGAGCGGGGGAATATCCAAGCCTGAACTTGTGTCCAGCCTTTCTTTTACCAGTGGACAACCTCTAGCATTGTGACCTTTTTTGCGGCATACTGAACATTTCAAAACCATTCCTTTTCTAGATAATTTAGTAAAATTTTTCTGACCCTTTTCATTCTCTATACCTTTGCTCTCATTTGGATCTTTTCTTCTAGCATTTTTCTTAGGTCTCTCAGGTAACTTGGCATAAACAGGAGGTAGTAGCGGTTCACAATCAACTTGAGGCCACATGTCACAATCATCCAATGCCTCCATGAAGTTACTATATATCCTCATGAACGTACTTTTATGGTAGTACTTGTCCACATAATCTTCAGGTTTATGGCCTAGATAATACATCCCAGATATAGCATGAGCACAAGGTATACTTGTAAGATCCCATTTTCTGCAAGCACAAGTTTTTTCTCCCAAATGAACCTTGAAGCTTTTCCCGTATCTATTCTCAATCTCAAATTGGTTGTGGCCATTCCAATGGGCAATAAATTCCATTGCCTGTTGCTTAGTTTCCTCCAAGTATTTTTGAACTTTAGAGCACAAATCACCGCTATACTTCTCCATCTCTTCTCTAACAGCCCCGATTCTTTTCATTAGCATCAATCTTATAGTCTCAAGCATGGATATAATAGGCCTATTTCTTGCTGTTAAAATCATAGAGTTGAAGCTTTCAGACAAGTTATTGAGCAACATGTCTGATTTAGGAATACAACTGAAATGGGACTTAGACCACTGTTGTGGGGGCCTCTTTGCCAACCATTCAAAAGCTTCCACATCTCTGGATTTCAGCTCATTCATAGCAGCACTGAAATCTGCAATTTTTGTGGCCCTTGCAGCTTTCCACAATATCTGCTTTTAGGCTAGCCCTTTGTGTGAAGACTTGAAGTTGCTGTATAAATGTTGGACACAAAACCTGTGTTCACAATTAGGTAGCAACTGCTCAACAGAATCTACTAATCCCTTTTGTTTATCTGACATTATTGTCCAAGAATAACTATTCTCAATGTTCAAATAGGCAACTAGCAACTCTAAAAACCACAACCAAGATTTTTTCTTTTCTTTCTCAACGACTGCATATGCAAATGGATACATACAATTATTTGCATCAACACCTACAGCAGTTAGCAAAATTCCACCTACCTGGGTTTTAAGATGACACCCATCAAAGCATATCACGGGCCTACAACCCCCAAGAAACCCTTTTTTTAAAGCCCCCCAACATATATACATTCTTTTAAATTGTGGTCGTCCTTCCACCAATTTCGATTTTATCTTCACTGTGGTCCTTGGATTGGAGTTTTTAATCTCTTCGGCATATGACCACAACATGCCAAATTGCTCTACATCAGTCCCTAGACATGAGTCCTTCACAATCTTTTTTGCCTTATACATCTGCCATTTATTAAACACAATTTTAAGCTCTTTTTGCATGATAAAAAGCATTGAATCAATAGGCCACTTGGGATCAGTTGCTATTTTGTCCCTGTAGTAGTTAGCTATCCACTTAGGTGTTGCCTGAGCGACTTTCTGAGCCCTAGGACACTTGTGCTTGCAAATGTAGGTCTTTACTTGAAGGGTGTCTTCATCACTGACCCTTGATGCATAGATTACCCAGGGACACGTGTCATGTTTACATTTGTCTTGGATTTTGAACTTTTGATTTAATGTGAAAGTTATATCCCTGCCATCCCTAATAGAATGTGCTCTTACACTCTCCTTAAAAGACTCAGCAGTAGGAAAACATTGTCCCAGTTTAAATTGCTCATCAACTTGTAACTTGCTTTTAATAGTTTCAACTTGGTGGACCATTTCACTACCACTGCAAATTGATTTATTTTTAGAGCCTTTCATTTCTAAACCTCCCCATTCAACTTCAGCATCTATGTTTTTTTCATAAAGAAGATCATCATTTTCAGAAAACTCCCAATCGCTCTCTACAAAAGCCTCTGACTTGGAAGAATCTGTCCCAAGTGATTGGCCGCTGTCGGTGTCACCATCACTACCGTTTTCACCCAAGTCAGATTCTCCCATAAATTCCATTCCCTCATCAACACTAGGAAAGTAATCATTGCGCAGTTCAGATGCAATGGTGCTCAATGTACTGTTTTGATGCTCAATATAAATGCCTACCACCCTATTCTCATCCAAAAAGTTAACCAAATTCAAAGCATCAGAATCATTTTGAATCTCAAACAAAGAACTGCAATTATCTATCCCATTTGTACTCACGTGAAACTTCTTGCATTCCTTTAAACCCAAATCCCAAGTAATATTAATGATTTCCAAAAATGACATTTCATCCGGGTCACAAAAATCAATATGACTCACTCTCATGTTTTCCCCAACATAATACCTGGTGCCATATTTTACGAATTTTCCAGAATGGTACATCCGTATGGTGAAAAATTGTGACCCAGAACCTGATGGGGTGAGGGAAAAAAAATAACTTGTTTTAATTCATTTGCTTAAATTCTACTTCAATAAAATAAGTGCAAAAATACCAAAATTATATTTGAATTAGTTCCACCAACACTACAATGTGCACAAAGAATATTAATTCATATCATAAAGCAATAAAAACATACTCATCTTTTTCATCTTTAAGAATATTAATTCATATCCTAAAGCAACAAAAACATACTCATCTTTTTCTTGAGAATGAAGGATAGTAATTGAAAGATAAAAAATAATGAACTTACTGTAATTAGGGCATAAGAATTCAGGAGGATTTTCGTTGACATTGTGGCGGATGATCCAACCCATTGTTGGATATTATTGAAATTCCACCTTCAAATCTTCAATTTAATCAAAATTGCGAGGGATATTGATTTCTTTTGAGAATCAAAATTTGGATAAAAGTGAAAAACAATAATGTGAATCTCTCTGAGTCTTGAGACCTTTGGGCTGGTCGTGCTTGAAAGTGGAAATGACACAAATATCTATGCTATCATGACCGGCCAAAATCATTAGGAAACCGGTTATTATCTGTTCAAATTAAGTTAGGTACTAATTAATTAAAAGGTATGTAATCTAGGTACTGAATAAATTGATTGCAAACTTTAGGTACTGGTAACACAAAACACTCCGATCGGCTTGAAATCGGTTTGCTTCCTTCTTCCTCGCCGATAGAACGCCGCGTCCCTGCACAGAACTCTCACACCGGAGGGGTTTTCCGGTGAAGAGCCTCTGATGCTTAAGTCAGTATATGTTTGTTCAATTTTCCAAAATAAAGAATGGATAAATCGTAAACCCTAAGAAAAGACCCACTCCTATATATATAGGAGTGAGATACCTGCACTAAGAGCTACCCGGATATTGGTGAGCTGTCCTGCCCGCGCTGCCCGTCCGTATACACACAGTGTGCGTGTTGTCAGAAATGTCAGAGGTAGTTGGTGCCACTGTCACTCTGCGCCAATACATTCTCGCCACGTGCCCCCCTCTGAGCTGAGGGGAATTGTTCCCTTGCGCAGGCCGTTGGGATCCCCTGACATCGCCCACGCGCCCATTCGCGTTCAGGTCACGCTCTCGACTGCTTCTTATCTACTGCGTGCTCAATCTGGTCGAGCTTCCCCTTACTAGTCGATCATCGACCAGCTCTGCTATTCTGCTCGATCTATTCCGTTCTGGTCGATCATCCTTCAACCGACGTGGTTTTCTCCATGCCACACCTGCCTGACCGACATGATGGACCGGTCTGCTCGTTAGTCGTACAATATCCCATATCAGGTACCAAATTGGCAAAATAAGTATAATTGAGGTACCAAACTATCAATATCCCTTATTATTATGTTCATAAATTCATGTGCAAAATACATATTTTGTTTTCTAGAAAAACCATTGGTGTTGAAGCCATAACTGTTTATGTCAGTATATTCCAAATTTTTTTTAGGGGTATACCGTTATCAATATCTCTACGGTATTCAATAAAATATGGTACTCTCTCCTATTCATAATAAGTGTCGTTTTGAGAAGTTGCACAATAATTAAGAATATTTTTTTTGCCAATAATAACCTTCATTAATGAAGACAGAGATGAATGTTTTGAGAAAAGATGAAGAGTGAATATGAAAAGAAGTAGTGTATTTATTAGCTAAATGAAGGTAATAATGGAAAAACATGTACAAAAAATTCAAAACGACATTTATTTAGTTAATGGTTGATAAAGTGAAAATGACATTTAAAAAGAATAGGAGGAGGTAGTAATAGCTTTGTTTATGTCAGCATATTTCAAATTTTATTTAGGGATATACTCTTATCAATATCTTTATGGTATTCAATAAAATATGATAATAGTTTTGTATCCTTATGTCGTGATTCATTCAGCTGCATTTACCAAGCTTCCTTAAGTTTCTTGGATAACTAAAAATATTTCTTCTTGTGCCTAAAGCATGTGATATTTCCTGCTTAATTTTTTATCTGGTAATACCAATACTTAGAATGAATAAAATAGCAAATATATAATGCAATGAGATGGTAAATCTAACAACAGTATGATGCATTAGATATCATATATACACTTAAATTGATGCAAATAGTAGATTGCCACATTATTTCTATTAATAATTATTCAAAATATAAAAAATAAATTATTAACCAAGATCAAATTTCCATGCTAGAAATTATTAACCAAGATCCAATTTCCATGCTAGATAAACGACATAGATTTATTTATGATTGATCACAAACTTATATGTGCATAAACCACAGTCAATCGAACAAAAAAATATTTGATCGAGCAAGAATCACACATGCATCATATGACAACAACACAATACTCAAAAATCAATAAATAAGAAATCATATGAATGAAAAAAAAATAGTATAGTTAGTAGTGATCAAGCAGCTCCGTTGAGTTTGTTGGCAATGGTGGCAATGTACTTTGGTGAAACGTCTGCTCGTTTTCAAGCTCAGATGGCTGGCGTGAAACGTCCCCAGCAAAAGTCCCAACACCATAAGGCCTTGCACCTTTAACTTTCTCCATTTCAAACATGCCAACTCCAAATGTATACCCAATAGGCACAAAGATCATCCCATGGGGAACAAGCTATGTGATAGCCGTGAATCTGCGAGTAAACACTTATATTCACAAACTCTTTACATGGAAAAAAAAAAGATTGAGATTCATCATATTTAACCGTGAATATTTAGATATTCATATATGATATATCACCTAAGTGTAACCAGATGTAATCTTGCCAAATAGTGTGAGAAGCAAATTCCTTTTAATTAGCAAGGTCGAAAGCTACTTTTTTCACGAGATATAAATCTTGCCCCAAGAGATTGAAACCTAATCAAACACGTATATCGAGAAGTACCAAAATCATATTTTCCCTTCCAATTCTAACACCAAACATAGGCGCGCGCACACACACACATCCAGTAGAGTACCAAAGGTAACTAATGCACAATCATAATTTGCACATACATACAAATCCTTGAAATAAATTAATCACACACAATAAAGCCTATAATAACTGCTCTCCCCTGATAACAATAGAGCCAACAACACACTATAGTCCCTATCAGTCATTACACAATTTCCATTCATGGCCTAAACAACATTACAATCATTCTAGCACCACATAGATAGTCTGAAAAGTTACAAAACCCAACCTCAAGATTTTGCCTGATTACAGAATCCCATTTATCTATCAACAGAACATAAATACCCTTTTACAGCTTTAAGAAGACCCCATTCTGGTATATCTTTTCCAAAACATATTTCCTCCAGACAAAGCTATTTGTAAGCCTCCTTCTATAACTAAGCCAAATATAATAGGCATTTTATTTAACTAACCCTGAAAAAAATTACCTGTGAGAACAAAGACATGATCTCTACCACCCGACCTCTTCCAATCTCCTCAAGGACATGATTACCGAATGTACCCTTGAGGTATTGGTTAATTACAATATGAACCTAGTAATATTATTATAAATTGCGCACTCTGAAATCATGATCCAGTAGCCGGAAATACGGGAAAACATGCTCTGGACTCCCTCAACGGTGCCCGTTGTTTTCCTACAAGAAAGTACATCGAGAAGAGTGGTCTTTCCGACACCACTTGCACCCATGAGGGTCGTGAGCACAATGTGTCGGTTATGTTACACAGCAGCTGCAGCTTCTTCTGCTCCTTCATCGCCTGTGTGCAGGTAAATAGCGACATAAACTTCTAAACAATGAGATAATTTTAGAGTTAAAGAATATGTTGAATTTTCGATTTGGCAGGTAGAACACGAAAAAATAAGAAAAAATTATGTATTCCTTTTTAAATTGGCCTACAATCTTAACGTTTACTCATACAACCCTACCTTAGTGAAGAGGAACCACAAAATTTATTTGGGGACAATCGTGAAATTTTCACTGCACAGATAGTTGGACTCGTTGGAGATAATGCTTATGGAAGGACTGTCAGCTCGCTCGCCTATTTGCACGCCAAGATGGTCAAATCTTGTTGGATTTGGTGATATTTTAGAGTGTATTCTTGTTGGATTCAGAGTGTTCAGAATGTTTAGTATAGATAAATTACAAAATTGCATTAGAAAAATGACAAAGTAAGGTTATTTTAGGTATATCATATTTTTACTTTCATAATATGTAAATAAACAAATAAATAAATAATAGTGTAGATAGATAGATATTTGAGTAGTTTATTTATTTAAAAAAAATAAAAATGAAGTGGACAAAAAAAAGGTGTGGAAAAAAATCAAAAGGACGTATTCATTGAATATGTTTTTTCTAATTAAAGTTTATTAGGAAAACGTATTCATAGAATACATTTTTATACTAATTTTGTAAAATGTTAAAAATACTTATTTTCTTTAAAATAGAGTCGAATTGAAGAAAAATTGATAATTGTAAAACGTATTTGAAATATACATTTTTAATAAAAAAATAAAATTGATTTTTAGGGTTTTAATAAATGGATTATGGAAATATGTTTTTAAAAAAAGAAAAAATAATACGTTTTTTAAATAAATTAAAACGTATTACAAGAATACGTTTTACAGTTATTTAACTGTAAAACGTATTCTTGTAATACGTTTTACAATGGAATAAAAATATGTTCCATTCTCTTCTTCTCCATTTCTGCGCGACCATTCACAGCGAGAGAGAGCGAGGTTTATCGGAAAAAAAAAAACTCGATCCAATTGCCACCCCAAAGTAAATCGATAACAACAACACGAACCTCATTTTTGGTTAATTCATTCGTACGAGGTATATTGGCTTATCTTAACTTTTTACATTGTTTGAATTTGTTTGGAGATTAGGGATTGTTATAATATGTTTGAATGTGGTGGTGTTTGAAGATTGAGAATTGATAATTGTTTATCGATTATGTATGTATGTTGAATTGGAGATTGGAATTTTGTTGGAAATTATCAATTGCAAATTGATTTGTTGTTGTTCGGCTTAGGGTTTTTTGAAATTAGGGGTTTTAATTTATTGTTGGATTATTTGTATTAGGGTTTTGGAGGATTAATTGATTGGAAGTAAAAAAATGGGTTCAAAGAATAATTGGATTTTTTGGCTGTTGGATTAGACATTATGTGTTATTGTAATTGAGAAGAATTGATTTTTTTTTTTTTATTGTAATAGGACTAAATGGAGTATTGCGGTTCATATTTTGTTAATTTGTATTGGCGATGTGCGAAAGAACAATTTGTTTCATTTATAGATCGTCTGGATGGTTCATTTGTTATTACGGGGAGGATATTATATGGAGAATTGGTACAGATGATCAATGAAAATTGTCGGTTTGGAG